GGGGCGGGCGCGGGTGCGGGGGGGGCGCCTCCAGTCCGCCCCGCGCGCGGAGTCGCGCGCGCCAGGTCCCGAAGCGCCCGAGGGCGCCCGGACGCTGAGCGCACGTCCTTTCGGATGCAAACGCCCGGGTCTCGGGCGTCTGACGCCACCGGGAGGTCAGCCAGGCCCCAGGTGAGTGTGTGTGTGGCTGCTGGGGGCCGGGGGAGGCGCCGCCGGCAGCTGTGCGCCCTTGCTGTGCGCGTCTGGAAGCAGGACTAATCAGTGAGCGGGAGGCGGGCGGGGGGCTCCGGGTGGAGTTTCCCTTGGCATTCCCAAGTTACTGCGTGTTGCCGTGAGCGGTTGCTCCGCAAGGCAGGAGAGGCGTATGGACACAGCTGGGCGCTCAGCCCGGAAAGCTGGTGCTGAGAGACACCCGGTGCTGCGAGAGAAGTAGTTCAGGGTAAGAGCAAAATCCAGCACGCTCCAAACGCAGCGGTAAACACAGGCAGTCTGGACCGCTGTCCTCAAAGGGAACACAAGCGCCGCTCCCTTGACCTCGGACTGATTGGGGGCACAATGCGCGCTGGCTGTGCCGCCCGGTTCTGCAGAGGTCTGAGACTGGAAGGGGGTGTGTGCCTGTGTGTGTAGGAGTCCTTTGAACTGGCCGCGCTAGACACCTTTTACTTTCGTGAAGGTGGAACTCACCTGCTTTGCTTTTTCTTGTAATTAGTATTCTGCTGATATGGTGCATCTGCAGGGTTTGCCTCTGCTCGGCGTCCTGCTTCCCCTCCTCTTGGCTGTACCTTAGGTGTGCGCTGGGAAAGGGGCACCCTGCTCCTCTGATTGTATGCATGGTGGACTTCTTCGTGGGTGCATATGGTACACGGCTAGTTGCTGTTATTCATCCTTCCAATGTGGATTAATGAGAAAGGACCTATTCTTCTGTATGGCTTCAAGTTTTAGATCATTCACCCTACGGATTTCTTAGATGTCATAGTTCGGGTGAGTAAAGATTGACAATGAGTTCACCCAGCACTAGGCAAATGGTAAACTGCTAAGAAACCATCAAGGCTTTGGAAATCTGCAAATTGAACCATGAATATACTTAAAACATCTTTTACTTTGCAAGACATATCTTGTCTTTATCAGATCGTTTATCAAGCAAAAGACCTTTAAGGAAGACTTCATTATTTCTGTAACCGGACAGAGGTTTAGGTTATTTTTCATACAGAAGTAGGTAAACAGAGCTTTATACAAAACAAAAATAGAAAAATGTAAGTAACTTGTAAAAATATGCCCCTTGCTAAGTGACAAGTATGCCTTTTTAAAATCAGATTAACAGCGCACCCAAAAATGTGTATTTTAATAGAGTTTAGGAACAAATAGACTTTTTTTTTTTTTTTAAAGGAAAGTTTGCATAGACACTGCCAGCAACATCTAAATAGTTTTAAGCGTGCCTTTATAAAGACAAGTTGTTCGGTGAAAAAAAAGCTAAGGAAAAAAGTATTACCTTTGAAGCTTTCAGTAACTACAAAAATTACCTCTTTCCTAAAGAAATAGTTAGGCTTTGTGTTTACCCAAGCTTTTTTCTTGTTGCTGTCTGTAAAGAGAAAATGCACTAAGAATCCCTTTATTTTTAGGGCTATTTGGAACAGTATGAGTTAAAATGCAAAAGAATTAAGGCAGGTAGTCAAACTGGCAACTTTGTGGAAGTTTTGCTTATATATTAGTGTTTAATATGGAGTGAAGTGGCAGAAACAATTAGTTAATATCCAACTTTAATAGCCTTATCTGGTAAAGCTAGATGAAAGTCTGTCTGTGGAAAGAAAAATAAACCATCATTGGTAGTGCAGATCATCACCCTGCTAAAAGCTATTAAGGTTTGCAGCTTTAATAAAAGGGCATTGTACACTTACAACGTGAGATATTATTGTAATTAAGGGCTGCAAAAGTCATTAGAATTGTGTTAACAATCAGTTGACAGACTCGCAACTCTCTTTAAGTCTACTTTTATTGATTTAATAGCACAGGGCTTTTTCCTTACTTATAAAAGGGTAATTGTAAAGCATCTATATTACTGCAATTTACCCTTGAATTGACTAGTTTTTAGTGTCCAATGAAGAAGAGAGCATGGAGAGCACTGAGTTGGCCACTGTTCAGCCTTCCTTGGTCTAAAAATTAAATGACCATCCCTCCTCAGGCATGATTTCTTTGCTGGTCTCCCTGTTATTCAGCATTTTGTTTTTTGATGGCAGAGTTGTTATAAACTTCTCAAAATGTATACTGATATGAGGAAGTGGATACATCTTTGTGCTGAGTCAAATACTTTCTTTGTCAAATATTTCAGAAGCTCTTTATAAAGTACTAAACCCATAAATTGTTCTGTGTTGTAAATATTTATTGCTAAATGATTCCAAACTTCCTTGATTTTATTAGGTTTTCATTTACTGTTATAGCTTGTATCATATCACAGTTCTCCCACACACACATACAAAATGTTTTTTACTTGATTGGAAAGATTCAAAGCCTTAGATTAAATGTGGAGTTTCAGAAACTTCTAAAATGACTAACGTGCATTAGTTGACTGTAAAGGGACTGTGATGGAAGCTTTTCTTCCTTGGATTAAAGAATTAGATGCTGCTTGGTGGGGTGATAAAGGGGAGCTGAGGACAAGGAAAAAAGACATGTGATCAGAGTCCTGTGTGTGCCCATCTCCCCAGCCTCTGACAAGCAGTGCAGATCTAGCTGTAACCAGCAATGCACGAGTGCCTCCTCTGGGGATTTGCTGGTTCTGCATAAAGGTACCCCTGCAATCACTTCCCTCTTGTCATTCTGTGAGTCCCTCACTGATAAAATTAACAGTGCAAATGAATATGCAGACATCTGTCTATACATTCATTTCAGATGAGAGTATAGATTTTATTCTGGTAGAATTTGTTTTCTGCTATTTTGCAAAATGTTTATTGAAACATGATGCCTTTTACTAAAGTCACATAAATCACACCTGGCACAAGGTAAATAGAAGGGTAAATTAAAAATTAGAATTGATACAGCTAAGCTTTCTTATAAGAGTATATTTTAAAAAGCCCTTTAAATATAATTTTAGCATTTTGTTATTACATAAGTGATCCAGAAGGACTGTTCTTTGTCACTTTACTTTTTAATTTACATGGGCTACTTCCTGTTAATTCTAAACTATTGTTCCCCTTTCTTTTTCATTTCTTTCACCCATGGCAATGGTTGTTTGTGTTTAGTTGAAATTGACTCTATAATCCACTTAGAGAAGTTTTCTTTCCATGTTTGATAACCAGATGCACACTGCAGGCTGTGTGATTCATTTCCAGGGCCCCTGCCTGCATATTTAGGCCAGTTAACAGTAGGAGGTTGTGGTCTGTGGTTGTAATGTTATTTGGCCCAGGGAGCTAATGGATTTCATCACAGTTTCTTTACGTGAGAAGTCTCATATCACAGAGAATCCCCAAACTCACGAATTAAAATGTAAAAAATTATACCTTTTAAGTACAAAGGAGAGGGCTTTTTCATCAGTATTAAAATTATTGAATCTAATGTTAAACTTTAAATAGTATACGGATGCAGCAACATAAATGATAATATATTGTTACACTAGAAGCTGAACATGGCAAAATTAAATCAAAAACGATTATAATAAAAATAGTAAGAGCAGACAGTCATCTCAAAATATAGGATTTGTAGCACCAACAAGAAAAGTTCGACTGGCATGATAGTTATTTTGCCAAATACAATGGCTCTATGTATACGTTTTTATATCCTAAGATATTTTCCTGAGATGTTACCCTATTTCTAAAGCATTCAGTCCATTATTGTTTAAATTTCAATGAAAACAGCTAACTACTTAGTGTCATAATGTAGTAGAAGTTATTTTTTGATTGCCAGGGTTGTTTAGAAGGGAGAAAGTTATTTTATATTGGACTACTGCTCACTCTCCATTTTTTTGTGACATAGAAATGTACAGTCCTGGACAATAGATTCCTCTACCCTTTCTTCTTAGTCTGCTCTCCCTGACATCCTGAAGAGTAATCATGATGATCTCCTACTTTGATAATTAACTTATTGTCATATACAAATTTTAGTATGATCAAATCTATTTTTCTTGGCTTTGGAGAAAGATAATAATTTTCAAAGATCAGATATTAAAAAGAGATTCATTACCAGAGTAAGCAATTTTTAACAAACATTTCAAAATACCCGTTGCATTCAATCATGCCCAATTGCATCAGTAACTAGCTGTGTGACCTTGGACATTTCACTAGAATTATGTAGATTTCAATTTTGTTCTTACTAAAGAAAGAAGGGACTAGCTTAGGTTTTTCCAATATCTGTTCGAGTTCCAATACATTAATCATCTGTAGTTCCACCATTTCAGGAATATTCAAATATAAGTAGCAGCAGAGTTTGGGGATTTCTTTATGTTTTTGCTCTAGCATGACCTCTTATGCGAACCAAGCTATTACATTCCTCAGTACTGAAGTAACATTCTGTTTATCTATCTCATAGACATTGTCCTTTTAAAGTTTGCTTGTAATGTGGTGGTTGGAAATAAGTGTAGCTACAGCTCTTACAACACTCCTGTCCTGGACTACTTCCTCTCCAGTTTTGGATTTTGACATCTGCTCAGTCATGAATGGGAGGGGATTAGAATATGTCTTTTTCGCCTTTGGCATTCTCAAAAATGTGTAGTGTGATTCTGCTATAAAAATAAGTAAAAGCAGCAATGAATAAGAACCATCCTTTATGCAAAGCATATTAACTTTGTTGACAGAGATATATCACAGAGAGGACTTTGGTGGTAACAGGTGGCTGCTGTCCTGGGACATAAGGGCAAATGAAGGTCTTTAAAGAAAACATTGGGTAAATCATGAAGAGGTCTCTTTGTTGAATTTAAGTAAATCCATTAAATATCCAGGGAATATTCAGAAAGGGACAGACCTGCATCTGATGCAGACTCCAGATAGCAGACAGCATGAGCAGCTGCTCTTTGCCTAAAATCTAGAGAAAATTTGGTCGTGTAAGGTCTTTAATTGTGATAAGCCATTGGTTATTTATATTGGACTGCAAAACCAAAAAACAACAAAAAAACCCCCCCACCACATTCCAATTTAACTTTAATTGCCACAAAACCTAAAATACTAGTATGAGGATCCTTCAAAAAGTTCGTGGAAAGATTTATATTATCATTCAATTCATTTTTCCACAAACTCTTTGATGTACCCTCATATCTTTCCTTTAAATATAATTGATAGTTATGTATTATAGTGCAGATTATCTCTAGAAAGCAAGTAGCACTTTGTGTGCCTTTTGAAAAAGTATTCTAGCATATATAAATTAATTGGCAATTAAGCATGTTTTATAACTACTCTTTTGGTTATATGTTAATATGTAGTGGCTGAATATGATATATTTTATATTGCTTGTCATGTTTTTAAGCATGATGACATTAATTTATATGGAACAGGTTGTGGATGATTTGTACTGCTGATTAATAATTGGTATGCTGATGCATAAAAAACATTTTATTTATGACTTTTAGTCACTGTTTTTAAGTATGAACAAAACATTTGATTAAGAGAATGACAGTCATTTGATCTGATTTTTAAAAGTGGCTTCGTAGAGATGCTAAGTGGTGTAGAAAATCCAATAAAATTTTATAATAATGAATTCATTTTAGTAAAATAATATTAGCTATTAAGATTAAATGAATGATAAACAGCCTACTTGAAAATAATACCTTGCCTCTTAGTTGAACAAAAATAATTAGAACAAAATGGTAGCATAATAAGGTGATTTCAGGTCAAATAAATGATGTTGACTTGGTAAATTTCACTTGATGGACTCTCACCCTTTTCTTTTTTGCTTCAAATCATTTGAATTTTTGTTTGTTTCCTTTTTGTATTCTGATTGATTAAGGTATGTTGTGCCAATCACAGTACTGCTTGTGATGATTTTCAAGTATTTTCAGATTGTGAAAAAAAAAAAAGCTAAAAAGGGTAAATTTTTACAAATACAACTTAGCCATAAAACAGCAGAGCAAACAAACACATTTGAAATCTTCTTCTGATATATGTTTTTTTCTATTTCAGATTATTCATTAGTCCAGTAGGCTTCCCCACTACTCTTTAAAACATCTGTGGTTGACCCCTATTCAGTTTTCTCCTTGGATGTAATGTATTCCCCTTACTTTCCTCCTTAGAATGATAATGCTCCACATTTGTAACTGGCCAGACCTTGTCACAGATCTATAGAAGTTACTTTAACTTTATACCAACACATCTATTTCTCTGCGTTTTTTTCTGGGCTAGTTAATAGTGAAGAGTTCAGCTGTCCAAACCTCCAGAGGGTCACTCTCCAAGCTTTCCCATGAAGACAGGACATGGCACTGCACAGCATGGGCACAGAGGTCTCTGCTTGTTTCTAATGTGGCTCCTGTTGTTAACTCTGTATGTGAAACTCAAGAGAGGAGGCAGAAAAGAGTAGAAGATAAACGACGTGGAAGTGTAAGAAGGGATGCGGGGTTATTGCTTTGGGACTCAGATTTGTGAGGCAATATTTAACCCATTGTGAAAAATCAACAATTGTGGGGTCCTGTGCTTAATTTACATGTGAAGAATGTTACTATGGTACTTTTATACATGTTGACATTTGTGAAATGATAAGAAACCTATCTGGAGAGGTTCTACAATATATGAGGAAATTTCAAATATTGGTTACTTACGTTTCACAACCACAGAGAATAGAGGTTTTTCATAACTCTTCAGGACCCTGCTTTTCTTTCATGATGACCCAACTCAGGACAAGATGAGTAGGGTTGAACTGCTATAATGGCTTTTACCTTGATAATCAGATTTGACTGAAAAGGAAGGCAAGGATTTGGGGAAGACGAATGAAGAAAAGAGACATCTTCTCTTTGACCAAATAACTTTCCCCTGATATATCGGGTGTTTATTCCTGGCAGAGTTGGTTACTACCAAAAATGTTGATGAACCCATTTTGAAACATCCTCACTTCAGATCACAATTGTTCAGACACAACTTTCTTGTTTTCCAAGAGCACTCAGCAAAGGGTATGACAGAGACATTTATCTGCCTCGTAAAAGAGAACTTCATCCTCTAGTAATGTACACAGAGCCAGTTAAAGTATCCTTGAGCACTCTTATAGACCTTGGAGCAGGGTAAAGAAAATTTGGCTCAAGAGCCTGGTAAATACTTCAAATACTGCAGAGGAATACAATGGAATTGTTTTCAAAGTGATTGTGATTCATAATCATGGTAGAATTACCAAGAAATTTATATATTGACCTATTATGTGGTTAATTTTCCATATTGAAAAATGAGATGGATTATAAATGGAAGCAAACATTCTCTAAATATTTTCTGAATGATAATTATGTGTCTACTTCTGTTGATCAAAGATAGGGTGGATATTCCTGTTCATCAAGGTTTGCATTAATGCTAGCTGCTTTTAAAACTCTTGCTTCAAATGAGATAGTACATAATTGTCAGGTATCTTTCCTTCTGAATATTATCTCAATGACTGTAAAATCACCTATGGCATGTTCTCTAACTCCCTTCTTTTATATGTTTTAGCTAATTTGATAAGTACACAATATTGTTGTATGGAAGAGAAATAAACCTTGAGAGGCAAGAAGAGTAAATTACATAACTTTAGAAAAGCTTACAAAATCAATTTTATAATTGTCAAAAGTATAAAAGTAAGACCTGAGGGGAAAAAATGCAGGCTTTATATGGTAATTTAGTTTAGCTCCTTTATTTTGCAGAAAGTGAAATTACCAGAGGGATCCAAGGTGATATCACAAGTGATGGAGGTTGTAGGATAGAGTCCAGTGATCTTATCTCTAGTCCAGATTATGTTTCTTTTGTTCCTCATCAGTGAACACCCTGAGTAGATGCAAATGAATTTTCCCAATTCTAATACCAGTGTTTGACTTACAAAAACTTACAGAGGGCATGCCCTTAGGAAAGAAAGAATTATATCCTTTTTTTTTTTTTTAAAAAAAAAGCATTTTGATGCCTTTGTTTTTATCTATTTAGATACTTTGATTCATGAGCCAATAGTTATCTGGCAACAAGTAGAACTATCAAAAATGTTTTCGTTTAGTGTAAGAGTTGCCTAAAATATTTTACTATGGATAATATTGAAACCAAAATTAATATCACTTCACAAACAAACTTATCATTCTTAGAATTTCATGATTTGCTCACTTAATCCTATGAAGTAGATGCCATTATTAAAATTTTTGTTTTATAGATGAGGGGCTTGAGGATTCATCTCTGGAACTTAATTTCTTATAATTTAACTTACCCAAGATTGCATAGTTAAGACATGACAGACCAGAATTTGGATCTTTATCTGATACAGACTTCCACAGTCTTTACCAGTATGTAAAGTATATTAATTCCCCTAATTTTGAATCCCAAAATCTCATTGGCCATTTAGATTTTTAGATGTTGGATACATGTTCACACTGAAACAATGCTACCAAGTCCTTTTAATCCATAAAGTTGCCTAAATCATATAGTTTATCATGTTTAAAAAATAATTGTTTTAGGAACCAAAGTATTTTTGTCCTTGTTTTTAAGAGAAAATTCATTCTCTCTTGAGAAAGGAAAATTTGGTTAAACTGGAACTGTTCTTAGGCTGCAGGTATCACGTGCTGCTCTCAGTCCTGTGATCACAGCCCTAAATCGTTCCTCCCCATCCCCAGGAACTTGGTTTGGCACGTAGAAGAAGGAAGAAGCTACATGAACTTCTTCCTTCCCTTGCTCACAGCCATTCCCACTACCTCCTTACAGTGAACTTTCAACATAATTGAGGGGCTTTTATTGGAACATCAAGCATGATCCCAAGTTACCTGTTCTTTATAATAGTAAGTCTAGAACAAATAGCCTTCTAGGGTAATGTCTAAATGGAGTAAATTCATCTTTTACCCTTGGATAGGAGGTTAGAATTTTTGGAGAATGTGTTCAATACATAGGCTGGAGTTCATATGCTCTAATAATAGTTACCCATTCTGGTGTTTCTCAGCATACATGAATTAGCTGAATGCTGGATCATTCAAAATGCCATCTGGAATATCAACACTTTATAGGGATATTTTAAAAATGTATCTGTTCATTTTAATAGAGCTCAAAGTCAATGCAACCTGTTTCTTCCAGTTGTGTGGACTATTTAACTTATTTAGTACATTTATATATTTTTTTCTTTCACATTTTCCCTCTCTATATAGCATTTTTCCTAAGCAATTTGGCTGTCAGGAATATTTTTCTAGTAAGTAACAGACACTCCTGTTACAGGAGAGACATGTCAAAAGATTAAAATAAAGCTTATAAGAATAGTGTATTTTCTGCTTTAATAGGGAAATATCTTTCAATTAATGTTCTTAAAACTATTTTTCCCCCTCCTCAAAAAGCAAAAATACAGAAATAAGTAAATGATAATTCTTTGCTGTAATCATTCTATTGGTGATTTATTTATAAAAAGTAAAATTAATTCATAAACCAAGTGCAACATGGAGATTTAGGTGAACATTTTGTCATAAACTCTTATCTCTCCGTGTTTGGAAAATTTGTTTTGTAACTGATTTTGTTCCTCTTGCATAATCAGAATTCTATAAGTGAAATAAATAGACATTAGAATAAAAGGTGTTTTTTCCATGCTGCTGCTAAGCACTTCCTGGGTGTATGCCAACAAGCAATGGGGCTCATAAACATAGTTTTCTAACTCTTCTGTTGATCTGTATAATTCAATTCCATAAACGTTTTTGGAAGAAGGCCCTACTGTGCACAAGTCATGGTGCAAGATGTTCAATAAATATTTGTAGAATAGCAAATAACTGCAGTGCAATAGCATATCCTAGCATGCTACAGAGCATACATGACAGTAAGTTTGAAGAGTGGAAAATGGAAGCTACTGAGCTTTTCAGCTGATCACAATCTAATCAGAGCACATCAAAACAGCTGGTGTTCTGTGACTCAGAATCAATCAACCGGTTTTGAATCACCTCGTACTTCTTTATTTCTCTTTACAGTTTCACAGAAGAGATTTAAACCAGCATATGTCCTTCCCATTTGGTTAAATCCATGCTTTGAGCTGCTTTGCTTTCACGTTCTAATACCAATGAATGAAACTGACTGTAATATAAAAGAGAGAAAAAAAGAGGCTAACATTAAATGATTTTTAAAATGATGCTGCTACATTTGTGTAAAACAAACCATATGCCCAAATAAAATGCCCTAAAAGAAACTTAAAATTTTAAGGCTGTGTTATGGAATAAGAATAATTCTGCATCAGCAGTATTATGTAATTTACAAATATGGCAATTGTTATTGTAATTTTAGAAGTGTATAATTAATATTTTAATGATTATACAACAATGATATCTTGAGAAAATTAATAGTAAATTAGTAAATGGAAGCTAAATGTTTTTATGTGTTCTGGTTTCTGACACTAGCTCTTCTCTTTGTTCTGACAGGTACCTATTACACCATTCTTTGGAGAAGGCTGTCCAACAGTGGTGACCTCTTCCAATCCAACACTCTACAAATTATTATCCCTGGACTCTCAGTTGACACCCTGCCGGAGGCAAGAGCTACTAAGCCAACTGGAACTGTGCCTTTTCTTTTGTCAAGGTTTTTTTCTTACACAGGAAAAAGAAAGAAAAAAAAAAGATGAAGCTGGGCAAAGTGGAATTCTGCTATTTTCTGCAGCTAATAGCTCTTTTCCTGTGTTTTTCTGGGATGAGTCAAGCAGAACTCCCAAAGTCCAGATCAAAGCCCTATTTCCAATCAGGGAGGTCCCGGACCAAGCGCAGCTGGGTGTGGAATCAGTTCTTTGTGCTGGAGGAATACATGGGTTCAGACCCCCTCTATGTAGGAAAGGTACGGCATCTGGCCTTTCAAAGTTGCAAATGATGTTGTCAGTGTCTATGGTTGGATGGTTGGTTGAACTGTTGATTTTTGCTTTGGAGATTGAAAACACGAACATCATTCCTATGGAAGAGTTTATGAAGTTTTTGGCGTTAGCCACTCTGAAGTCGTAATCAGGATACTATCCAGTACTGTTAAGCCATAACTTAGGGAATGATGTTTCACTCCTACAAACAGATTCTACAGGGCCTAGTTTACCATGATGGTAGCACACTGGTAAAACTGTTATTACCAAAATTAGAATAATAATATCCACTGATAAATAAAGGGTAGTGGGTTTTCACAGCCAGTTGATTTTTTAGTTGCCCTTTTTTTTTAGGACACTGTGTAAATGAATTACGTATGAACATTTATGCTTATATATCCTGATACTTGCAGTTTAAAAACTGTAGAGTGAAATCATTGAGCCTAATGGTTCTAAATTATGAGCAATTCAAACCCACTTTTCTTAGCAGTCTTGTTTTTTTTTTTTTTTGTCCTTTTTTTTGTGTGTGTGTGTCCGGCAACGGATCACAACCCTCAGTGTCGCGCCCGTACCGGACCGGGACCAGCAATGGGATCGCAACCCTTGGTGTTGCGCCCGCACCTCACTCAGCCAGTGAGCGGGAACCGGTCTGTATGTGGGATCCGAACCCTCGGCGGGAGCGCCACCGCGCTCCCAAGCGGCGCACTGTAGCAGTGCGCCACCGGGCCGGCCCTAGCAGTCTTGGTTTGATGGAACTTTGGAGTGTTTTTGTTTTTTAAGTTTGCTTTTTAAAATTTCCTTTTGTTTAAAAATGAATATGAACAGAAGTCAATTAGAAGTGATATTAGACAAATGATGAGCAGTTCATGGTGCATTTGTTGGATGGCCAAGTGGTAGCTAAATTGAGATGTTTTTCATAGCTTCCTTCTGTCTGAATTTTTGGACAGGAGATTTCGATTCAAGGGCCTCCTGAACTGAAAAACACTTCAAGAAAGCATGGACTTTCTCCTGTTATCCTCATATTACGTTCCCAGTTTCCAGTCTCTTGAAGGCTCAATTATTTTCATACTTATAAAGATTTCCTGAATTTCTGAATTTGTTGCTGAGTACTGGTCAAGATTTTCTAAGTAAGATATATCTGCAAGAAATCTCTACCTCTGTATTTCCACTTATAACTTTACCAGTTTTATACTTCTATTCCTGATAAAAATGAAGCACAGCTAACTAGTAAATTTATCCATGAATCAATTTTTCAACTTTGAAAGATTGAGGAAGAATCTCAGTCATTTTTTTATTTGAATGTACCTTAAATAGGGGTGAAAAAATATTTTTTGTTGATGGGCATCTGCATAAAAGAAGGTAATCTTTATTATACTTATTATTTCCTCTCAGTGCTTTTATATTTTACAAATACTGACTGGTACCATATTGTAAGCAAAATGATTTTAATAAATTAAAGGTTTCTAGGAATGTGCATTAGGATTGTTTTGGCCCAACCATAGCATTTTCCTGCTCTAAACTAGGATATGTAAATGTGCAAGTGTTTTTGTATATATATATTTTATAGCCATTCAGTTTTATCAATAGCACCATCATATATACTGTATATGTGCTAAATTTCTCTCTCACTTTCTTTTAACTTATTTGTTTCTTTGTGATAAAAGTGAAGGCAGTAATAATAATGCAGTGTTATTGACTAAGTATCTAGCTGTTAATTCCATGCATTTTTAATGGACATTTAACAAGTTCATCAAGCTTTCTTGAATAAACAGATCAGCAATGTTCCACTCATTTATAAAGAGTCAGTAGTTGTGGGGAAATTATGTTTTTGTGACAATGTAAAATTTTCTAAAAACAGTAAAAATATTCCCATTAATTCAGTTTTAAATGAATTGCTTGGATGAAATTGACATTTTAAAAATCAACACAATTTAAAAATTTTTTAAACTTCCTTATTTTTAATTTTATAATCTTCACATAATAATTTTAAATGCTTATACCCAAATAATCTTTGCAAGTCAATTTAAATTATGAAAATATCTCCTTACGGTACTTAAATTCCAAATGCTTATGAAGTTTCTGGATAATGCTCTTGCTATTTTTCTAAGAGAAATTGTGTGGTTCCTTGATTAGGTAACAGGAAATATTCTGTACTTGCCTTTCAATTAGTCAAAGAAGATCATTTAACTGATTTTATATGTGAGGAAAGTATTTATAAGACAGAAGGTGTTTCTTTCTTGTATCCTGTATTTTGGGAGTTCAGTATACCCATTCACAGTAAAATGCTCAAGATAGAAATGGGTTAAAAAACATGTCTCTTAAGTGACTAAAATACATTATGAAGGCAGTAAAATAATTTGAGGTGGAGAGAGGATTTATAGACAAGAGACACAAATGCAAGGCCTTAACATTTCCTTGGGAAATGGAGCAATTTGCATTTCCTTGGGAAAAGGTAGCAGAGAACTTGAGTACTATAGTGTTCATACATGAGATGATGAAATAATTCTTTTTAGGTTGGTGATCTATAAAAGCAAAGATATAAAAATAACTTTCACCTTAGTACATTTTTGATCACTTGGGTATGTAATATAAATATATATATATTTTAAGTTTAGGCAGGTGATATCTATGATTGGAATTGTTTATAGGAAAGAGAAAACTACAAATTGTAGACAGAGATGTGGAGGAATGGACAGGGAGATAATCATGAAAAGAAAAGGAAGAACCTAATCAGTATTTTTATAGACATATTTTTAACCTATGTTAGTTAGACGGCCGCACTTAAAGCCATGGTGACAAAATATAGCTATTTAGGTAGTTTGGAAGATACAAGTAATGACTTTGATAAACTTTGTGGGTTAATTTGATCACATAATGCATAAGGACAGTGTGTGTCAGATTGATGTCGGTTTTATTGCTCTCTGCTACTTCCTACTAGTTGTATAACTTGGAGAAAGTTGCCTAATATTATTAAATTTTAGTTTCTTCATCTCTAAAATGGGAATAATGATACGTATAATTCAAGTCCATTACAGAATAAATGAGATCAGAATATTTTGAACCTACATCCAATTAATCTAGCCATTATATTTTTTACTTCCTTACATTTTAATTATAAATTAACTGAGTTATGGATCATCTATTGTATTATGTGTCAAATGTTATACGTGTGATCCCTCAGATAAAAGCAGCCAATATGTAATAAGTATTATTTATATTTATTCTAATTAATTAAAAATGGTCTATTTTGGGTGTGTTTAGAAATCCAGTATGCCTTTTTATATGTGATTAAAACTGTGGCAGAAATATTAATGGGTAAAAAGTTTCAATCCTTAAACACAGGAACTTCAAATACCAGAGAAATTATGTCTGTACATTTTTTTAGACCTTCAAATTTGGAGACGATACTAATGGTTTGTGGCAAACAAGATAAATTAAGTGACTGTACAGTAAATAAAATTTTGTCATTAAGACTTCAAAGATAATGAGGCCACCATACAGCTTTCCACCTTACTGTTTTAGTTAATTTATTGGGTTTGGCATACGATAACCCAAGACCAAAGTAGGACAGTCTGTTGAATGGGGCCAGGCATGCTCCTAGAAACCTCATTGAGAAATCACCAGGGCACAGACTTCTATGCTGTGTTCGACTCTGATGATGTAGCATTCATTATTAGCTTTCCACCGTTTCCTTGAGATGAAAGTTGTTAAACTGCTGACCCCAAGTGTATAGACTTGAGGAAGGAATTCTCACACATCACTCTCATGGAGCTCTGTTTTAAAGAATAATAGTGCACCTTTACCTGATTGTATTTCTTAATTATCATCATGCCTGTTTTCTTATCCTTACAAGAGGAGAAGAAAGTGGACAGTCCTTTCTTTTCTCCGTTTGACTTTATATAATCCTCCTCCCCTGACCTGGTTTATTTGCAGCACATAGGAGGTCACAGTTTCCACCCATCTCATGGCATCACTCCATACTTTTCCAGCCCAGTCTTTTTCTTACCTTGACATTTCTCACTTGAAGTCCCTTAACCATCTGACAAAAAAAATCTGTCTACAAAACCACCCAGCCTCCATTCCAGGTATTAAGTGTTTTCCATCTTTCCTAGACATAACGGGCTGCCAGGCGATGGCTGCACTCTAGGCCATCACTTTCCCAGAAATGTGTGCTTCGTGCCTCTTCCCCAGTCTGCTTCCCTCGCTGTTAACGCCATTCTTGCCTTTTTTTTTTTCTTTTCTTTTTTTTTTTTGCTACTCTGCTTTCTTCCCTACTCATTCAGGGAAAATTTATACCTACCACCAGAATAGAAATCAAATACATAGAACTGTGGTTTGCAGGATTCACTAAGCCTGCTTGAAACTGTTGGTGAACATTTTTGATACATGTAATTACACCTCAGCAGTATATTTCACCCAAACATTCTCTATCTCCTGATATCAAAAGATGCAGTGTTCCAGAAAATAAATTTTTATCTTGAAAATAGGTCATGTTAAAAAAAATTTGAGTTAAAAATTAGATTTCTTTTTTTTTTTTTTTTTGTCTTTTGTCTTTTTCCGTGTCCGGCAACGGATCGCAACCCTCAGTGTTGCCCCCGTACCGGACCGGGGACCGGCAACGGGATCGCAACCCTCGGTGCTGCTCCCGCACCTCGCTCAGCCAGTGAGCGGGAACTGGTCCGTATGTGGGATCCGAACCCTCGGGCGGGAGTGCCGCCGCGCTTCCCAAGCGGTGCACTATCCAGTGCGCCACCGGGCCGGCCCCAAAATTAGATTTCTTAACTGGGAAATTTCCTATTAGATACACAAAAAAGAAAATGATGAATTCCAAATATTAATTACTTAGAGAAGAGCATATCTGTTATAGTAAAATTTACATTTTATAGATTTTGGTGGAAAAAAATAGGAAAAGTGTCCTCTAAATACATAGATTGCCTGAAGACAGATCAAATATTAGAAGAAAACAAAGACAATTTGGGTTTTCAGG